TTCATGATTTATTGTGTCGAACGCTTTTGACAAGTCTACAAAGACTCCTAATACGAACTTCTTTTCATAGATTGATTCACTAATTCTATTGACGAGGTCTACGATAGCATGCTCTGTCGAGTGCTGAGTTTGAAAACCATATTGGTTTTCATTCAGAATTTTGTTTGTGGTTAGGTATTTATATAAACGATTGTAGATTATTCGTTCGAGCAGTTTTGAAAATACGGGAAGGATTGATATTGGTCTGTAATTATTTAAGAAAGATGTATCTCCGGATTTATAGATAGGAATAATTTTAGCTATTTTTAAATAGTCGGGTACAATTCCTGTAATTATTGAAGAGTTAAATATTTGAAAAATGGGTTTACTTATTTCTGGGAAGACATTCAAAATAATATTGGCTGGGATATTGTCGATACTGGACCTTTGTTAATTTTTAATGTTTTAATTGCTGTTTCAAGTTCTTCGTATTCTAGTTCTTTAAAAACTAGGGAGCAACGAGAGTCCTCGATGTAATTTTCAAATGAATTGTTTGTAGGTTGAATTTTAGAGGCGAGTTTGGAACCTATACTTGCAAAGTATTTGTTAAATTTTTCAGAGATAATTTTTTTATTATTAAACTCTTTTTCACTTATGAGAACTTTTGGAGGTAGTTGGTTCGAGTTTTTTTTATCTTTACCAATTATTTCTTTTATAATATCCCAGATTTTTTTATTATCTCCTTTAAATTTTTGTATTTGCTTTGAAAAATATAATTTTTTTGGATTTTAATTTTATTTTTTCAAATAGATTTTTATATTGTTTATACTTAGACAAATTAAAATGGTTTCTATTTTTTAGATATTTTATGTAGAGTTTTTGTTTTTGTTTTGACGATTTTCTTATTCCTTGGGTAATCCATGGAGTGGTTAGGTATTTTGCTTTAATTTCTTTTTCGACCTTTGAAAAATGTTTATTGTAGAGATTTAGGAAAATATTTATAAAATTATTGTAAGCGGAATTTGTGTGTCCGAGGTTACATTCATGATATATTTTTGACCAATTTACTACCGCTAGTGAGTCTTTTAGTTTTTGGGTCGAGAATTTATTTATGCTTCTTTTGATGATTTTTATTTTCAAGTTATTGACACGCGTTGCTTGTTGTGATAGTGAGAAGTAAATTGGGAAGTGGTCAGATATATCCGTTTTAATTATTCCTACTTTTAAGGATGGACCTTGAATTGAATTTGTCAATATATTGTCAATAGCTGTAATTGAGGTGGGAGTTACCCGGGAATGAACTACTAAAATCAAAACCATCTATCAATGTTCTTGCGATTTTGAATAGAAATCTTTTTCAACCGAAAATATATGAAAAACTGTATTGTAATTGTATTGGATTGGAAAGAAAAGAGCAAAAAGAAAAATTCACAAGAGTTTATTCAAGAGCTGAGCAAAAAGTGCATTCAACTTGAAGATGGCTTACTGACAGTGCATTCAACTTGAAGATGGCTTACTGACAGTGCATTCAACTTGAAGATGGCTTACTGACAGTGCATTCAACTTGAAGATGGCTTACTGACAGTGCAGAAAGTTAAGCCGAAAATTTCTAAAGTTACTACAAGGGTTACGCAGGTTCACGGATCAATGTAAGGAAAAAATGTGCTGGAGTTGGTGAAGGTAATTTAAGTTAATAAAAATCAAGAACTAAAACATAAAGAAAAAAGAAAATGGAACAAAGAGAAACATTTTTACGGTGTAAAAATGAATGCACATGTGGAGAAAGTGTGTCATGCCATAAAACTTTTTTTTTTTTTTTTTTTTTTTTTTTTTTTTTTTTTTTTTTTCTTTACATTTTAAGTTTACATTTGTCGTAATACAATACTTTAACAAATACAAACAAGGTTTCTGAAAGAAGATCGTACTGATCTTATCATCAGAACCTTTTACAAGCATTTAGCATAATTATTTACAATGTATATAATCTATTTATAAAATAAACAGTAAAAGTAAATAGTAAAACAAAAAGATAAAAAGTAAAACAAAAAGAGTCGTTACATATAAAAAGTAAAACAAAAAGAAAAGTAAAACAAAAAGAGTCGTTACATATAACGTATTTTACAATTAACATAAAACGTATTTTACAATTAAAAAGTTCTAAATAAAGGTACATAATTACAATTAGAAGAACCTTATTATGTCATCGGAAAATAAAATAAAATTTTTGAGTTTATGTTTAAAAATTGGAAAAGTGTAAAATATATTAAAGTTTGGCAAAACAACTTTATTCCAAAGATATGGCGCACGATAAGCAATACCATACTGGTTAAACTTTGTTCGACAAAAAGGTTTATGCAAAAATTTATTATTTCTAAGAGTATATTTATTTATTGGTTTTTCACAAAAGAGAACTTTAAAGATAGGTAGGGATAAGTCATTTTTCCACAAATACATAAAGCATAAAACATTAAACACATTAAGTTCGTAAATATTAAGAATTTTCATTTCAATAAAAAAAGGTTTGGAATGAGTGTATCGATACGCAAAATTAATTAAACGGATCGCATGCTTCTGACGGCGGTAAAGACATTTTAATTTGCTTTTTTCTGTGCTTCCCCAAGCAATATTTGCATAATTTAAATAGGTATGAATAAATGTGTAGTATAGTTGGGTTAAATCTTTTTTACATAGATATGTTCTCGATTTATATAAAATTCCAATGCTTTTAGAAATTTTTGTGCTAATATAGTCAATATGCGCTTTCCATGTGATGTTTTCATCAAGAAAAACACCCAAAAACCTTGTGACATAGTGTCTTTTTATCACAGTATTATCAATAAAGATTTCTGGTAAATTTTGGGGTAAATAAGGTTTTTTTGCGATTGGATGGAAGAGAATCCATTTTGTTTTGTTACTGTTAAGAGTTAGCTTATTGCATATAAACCATTTTGATATGTTTTTAAGTTCATCGTTCATACTAGAAAAGAGTTTGTAAATATCATTATCGGAAAGAAATAAGTTGGTGTCATCAGCAAACATTATACTCATTAAATTTGAGGCTTTATTTAGGTCGTTTATATAAATCAAGAACAACAGTGGTCCCAAAATGGAACCTTGGGGAACGCCACATGAAACATTTAGGAACTCATTTGGATAACAACTATTACTAAAAACAAATTGTTTACGGTTAGATAAATAACTTCGGAACCATTTTATAACTTTGTAATTTATTCCATAGTATTTCAGTTTTTGTATCAAAATTTCATGATCTACAGTATCGAACGCCTTCGATAGGTCGATAAAAACACCTAATGTAAATTTAGATTTTTCAAAAGAATTTGAAATTTCACGTACAAGTTGGATAATTGCATGTTCCGTCGAATTATTTTTTTTAAAACCAAACTGGTTGGCGTATAACAAATTATTAGAAAGGAGATAATTGTAAAATCTATTATACATAATGCGTTCTAGTATTTTTGAGAATGTGCAGAGGACGGAGATAGGACGATAATTACTGATATTTGTTTGATCTCCCTCTTTTAAAATTGGGGTAATTTTAGCAATTTTTAATTGATCCGGAAAAAACTACACCAGTGCTCTTCTTGACACAATGTACAAAAGTCAGTTTGCGGAAAGTTATCATCTAAAGTGGATTGAAAGTTACTAATAATGTTTTTAGCTGCTGCAGTAACTAACAATTCCCTCAAACGTAAGGTTATTGAGCACGAAAGTGATGAAAATACTAGCAGTTAGAAGGATACACCAAGGAAGTGACCTTATAGCTCTTATGGCCATAATACAGATTATGCGTTTTAATTATCCATTATGCTTAGTAAATTATTTGATTAACTTACTTAAGAGTCAATAGTTTCAAGGATGTATAAAAATATTTTTAAACTGTCTTAAAGACAAATAAAGCTATATGTAATTTTTTTTTTTTACAAACAACTATCTTTACTTGGTTGTTAATAGAAAAATAAATTTCAATAGAAAAAAGAAAAACTCTCTTTTAATACTGAATTTTTAATGTATGTATATATTTTTGTTAATGGACCACAAAATCCACACAGAAATCCTACATTGGTTAACTTAAAATATTTTACCAACTATTTAAAAAAAAAAAATTGTTTTAATTTTTTTTTGCAGAAGTATGACCTAGATCTTTACAAAAAACTTTACTTAGCAAATTTAAATGAAAATTTAAAGTATTTATGGACTAAAATGTCAAAAAGTTATAAAATTTTTTAAGTAAAATATTTTAGTGTTTTTCGTATAATTTTTACAAAATTATGCTAACTTGGTTATTTTTAACAGTTTCCTATCAAAAAACTATCTTGTCAAATAAAAAAAATCTATTTTGCTCCTTGATAAGACTTTTTATTTATTTATTGTTATTTAGGTGCCAAAAGAGGGTGTAGCTTTGGGGTCCATGAGTTTTTGGGGCCCGTCTACCTGTACAGCTCAATATTCTCTACAACTTCAAAAAAAAATTTTTTTTTCCGTAAAAAATAAATAATTAAAATCCTTAAGTATTCCGTTTGACCCTATTTTACTATAATACTTATTGTTTTTAATACCATTCTCGAAATGTTGAGGTAGAACAATGATGGTTTTAAATTGTTTTTTCCTTAACATCTCGAGACATTGACAATCCTCGAGACGTCAGACAAACCTCAGCATCTCGAGACTCGAGACGTTTAGGTAGAACAATGATGGTTTTAGATTGTTTTTGCTTATAGATTAACTCTTTAGCATGAATGTCTAGGTTAGGGCATTACTGCAAAATTGCCAAATGCTTCAATTTCAAAATAACTAATGTGAGTAAAGCCTATTAAATATAAGCTGCATTAATACGGTGATAATAATAATAATGTGATACCAATTGCCTTTTTTTTTAAATTAAATTATGAATCAAACAATTCATTTATAATAAAGCTTAAACTAGAAACTTTGTGGCATTTCCCAGAATTAGAGAATATATCTTTCTAGAACAATAAATTATTTAACAAAGAATATTTCCATTATTACGAAAAAGTTTTTTATTTATAAAATCTTGTTAAAATAATTACATACTAAGGTTTTATCAAAGTTAATCATTCACGTTGTTTGCATTTTTAAGCTTGTTTTCTTCTATTATGAGGCGTGATGACACTTTTGATAAAAGTGTATTTGATCGACCAACCATTTCTCTTGTATCTTCCATAAGACCAGCATTTATTAAAGAATTGTCAAACAACTAAAAAAAATGTTACCTCTCACATTAGTATATATAACTTATTAAGGTAATATCGCATAGACGCATACAAGGACATATATACTACAACTCCTAAAATTTAAAGTTATATAAGAACTTCTTTGTTAAATTTAACAACAAACAAACAGTTAAGAAATTTTTTTCGGAGTTTTGGAAGGTCATTTTGAAGCTAGATTAATAAACAACATAGAGTAACGCGGTCAGTGTTGCGCTATTACGCGTAGTAAACGTATTGTAAAAAGAGGGTGCACTACAAATAATCTTATAGCCCTGTTTAATAAAGAAATAAAAACACTAAAAAACTTATGTATTAATAAAAAGTACATCAATCAGATAAACTAATAACACCAGTTTTTAAATATAGTTAATAAACGTCATTTTTTATACATTGAAATCTAATATATTCATTTTTATTAACGCCAGTTTAACGAAGTGAAGTGTCAACGTTATATAGAAATTCTTATTTTATAAAATAGTGATATTTAGTATAAAAAAAGTATTTTTAATACTTTAAAACCACACTTTAAAATGGCTTTCAACAAATTATAAATTTTTGATTTAAATTTGATAGAGCAATATAATTAAAAAAAAACCATTAGATAAATATGCTGAGCAAATTACTAGATAATTAGTCCCATTTGACATTAAAAAGTAGGTGCAGAAAAACTTTTCTAAAATGTTATATTTAAAGAAATTTTTTGATAAATTGTTTAACTTACTAACATCTTTATATGGTTAAAAATCTATATAGTATATGTAGTATATAAAATCTGTATAGTATATGTAAAATCTGTATTAGGTTGTTTTGATTACTCATTGTTATTCAAGCTTTGAGACAAACAATCATTTCAAACGAACAAACAAATTTCGTTTTGAAGTACAATTTAATTTAATTAAGGATGTACCGAAATTCCAATGACTTTTAGGTCGTTGCGGTTCCGGCCGGAATTACAATATTTCAGGCCGAAACGCTGAAATTTATCTTTTACCTTTTTTTAAAACATTTGACAGACTGCAAATTAAATCAGAAAATCATTGTCCTATAGGGCAATAAAGAACTATAGATAAACTTAGGTAATATACAAAACTCTTAACAAACACAATGTAATTTTATTTGCAGCAGTCAATAATGTAAGGTTTTTAGAAGTTTAGGAATATTGTGGTGCAAAAAGAGTTGCTAACCAGTTTAGAACAACAAACTATCTTTTTTTTCATCAAAACTGTTACCTGTCTCTGAAAATAGTAAGATTTTAAATGTTAATTAAACTTTAAATAATTAAAAAGTACAGGATGCCTAAGACAGTAAATATTTCAATTTTAACCTAAATGGACAAATAGAAAACAAAGAAATAATTTTAAATATAAATTATAAGCAGGTTAAAACTTTCAATAAACAAAGTTATAAGAAACAAATAAAAACAAGAATCAAGTTAATAAAATAGGTTATATATATTATAGGTTATAAATATATATTATGTAGCCACAATGCTGAGGTGCAGGCTTTCACTTTCAATCTTGAAGGTAAAAAATTACATATTATTCTCGTTCCGGCCGGAATTTTATTAACAAATCCGATAAATCCGGTTCCGGCCGGAATTTCGAACTTCCAATCCCTAATTTTATTAATGAGCTAATTAACTAATTAATTAATTTTAATAATTAACACCCCTAAATTTAATTGTTTTTTTTTAAAAAAAAAAAAAAAAAGCACACACACGAAAAAAGATCTATAAAAAGACTAGAAACGTAGATTAAATTTTTATATATTTTTAATTCTATAGTAAGTAAGTAATTTTTAAAAGATAGGTGCAATAAAATATATATTCCTATGTAAAGTATACTTTCCCATAAAATTTTGTTTCAATTTAAAATTAAAAATTCTTTTTTTCTCTAATCAAAACTTTTAGTCGATGTATGCACATTAAATGTAATCATGTCAATAAAAATCAGTTACGCTATATATACAATCAAACTTAAATAGCCTAAAGACTCTTTTGCCTTATTTAAAATCTTGTAGGCAAAAAATTTCCCATTATTAGAATAATACAATATATAGTACCAACAGCATAAGCCTTCACTTCTCTTCTTTAAACCCTGCAATAAGTTATCGGCTGGTTAAAAGCCAGCAATAAAATAAACTCGTATTCTTATGTCTTCATTTGTCAGGAGTAAACTTAGTAATTGGAAGGGTTTTAATGCCAAAATTTAACCCTGCTCTACCTAGGGTTGCCAGATTTCCGGCTTTTACGAAGAACACAGTCAAAAAAATTAATTTTACAGGTTTGGCACTGTATTCTCTTTCGTAAAAGTTGGGCATCTGGTAAGCCTAGCTATACCCTACAGTTAAAACTGCTATCAGAGGAATTTTCTATAATATTAAGAAAATAAAAATAAATATCCAATCAAAACAAGCAAAAACAAATAAGTTTACTTTTATAATACATAAGCTATAATATATATACTATATCAAATTTATGGATTCTCTTAATTGTAAAAAAAAATTTATGTATATTATATATTAGGGTGGCCCTTAAAACAACTTGTTTGAGAAAAACCTGCTCCCACCCCTTAAATGTGTTCTATATAATACAAAAACACTAGGTTTAAAATTTTTTTGAATAAAAAATGTTTTAAGGGGTCCCTCAAGACCCTCGAATATTTAATGGGTCCCTAATATTTTCAAAAAAAAAGTTTTATAAAATTTTTATAAAATTTATAAAAATTTCAAAAAAAGTATTCATTTTGAAAAAAATTGTTATTTTTGGTATTGATTACTTAAAAAATTACATTTTTTAACAAAAAATGCATTTTTCATGTTTTTTAATGATAATTTTGATAAATAAGTTAAAAATTTTTAAAAATGAATATAATTTTTGTATAATTTCACTTCATTTGATTACCAGGTTGACATATTTTTGAAAAACTTTTTTTTGAAAATATTAGGGACCCATTATATATTCGAGGGTCTTGAGGGACCCCTTAAAAATTTTTTTAGTCAAAAAAATTGTAAACCTAGTATTTTTGTATTATATAGAACACATTTATAATATATATATATATATATATATATATATATATATATATATATATATATATATATATAACCAGCAGAAAATACCGAGTCTGAGTCCCGGTACCCAGCACTGGATCCATATTAAAAAGTTGGAATAAAAGTTTGTTAAATCTCTAGCGCTGAATTGTTTTTATTAAAAACGCTCGTTAACTTGCACTAATTAAGTTTGCCTAAACATATCAAGTTTCTTTTTAATAAACAACTATATATACAACCCTTTGGATATTTGCAGATATAAATTATTTTTTTGCTGCCTATCAACTATACAACCATGCATCATTCAAATGTTGCGTCTAGTAATTTCTGAAAAATTGAGTTCCAATCAGCAAATTATATCTCTGGCACTAACAATTGATTTTTTTTTTACATGTCTAATAGTTCTACAATCAATATAAGGAGTACTTTTCTTCAGTCGTCCCCATAAATGCTGTTTCAACAGTAATTGATTTGATACAATTTAACTTTTTCGCTATCAGCTGTTTTAACAAAAATCTTTTTGCTGCGACAGCACATTTTATTGAATAAAATTTGGATGGAATAATATTGACACCTTATAAAAATTTGAATAGTAAATCTCCTTAAAAGCATAACAAACTATATATCAATAGAAAGTAAACAAATGAACTTTCCAATTAAATAAGTTTTTAACAAACATCATCAAGCAATACGAAATGCAAAGTGCTTAAAACCTTTGTCTTTATAAATAGTAACTTAAACATTATGTCCAAAGCAAAACTCATTTAATGTGTAAAAAAAGAATGTTTTTCTTCATAAGACTTTGGTAATTTCTAGCTAAATATACACTTCTACAAGTTAAATTTTACAGTGTTAACGCTGCTCTATTTTGTAACTAAACTTAAAGTTTTTTTTTTATCAAGGATTACTCAAGATTTTTTAACTTCGTCAAGTGATTTTTTATAATTACACAATATGGCCCTTATTTGTTCTTGATCATGTAGAAAATTAATTAAACTATGAGAACAAACAAGTTATATGTGTCTAGAATGAAAGTTTATGTACAAAACAAGATAAATTGTAAAGCATACTCAAAAGACGCTACCAACGGCTTGCAGTCAAAACTTAAAGAAATCAAAAGCCGCTGCCAGCAGCTTGCAGTAGTGAAAGAGTTAAGATTCAACTAAACAAGATTACTAGTGTTTCAAAATGAATAATTTATGATTAAATTGCAGAGCTATATAAGGACAAATGTCCGCTTTGTTTTGAAACATTAAAATTTTTGTACTTATTTGTATACATATAAAAAAAAAATTAAAACAGAGTCATACAAGTGACAAATAACAAGAATATTTTCGACATTTATAAGCAAATATTATACCTAATGACTTTAAAATTAAAATTGTTTTATAAATATTTTAAATGCTATTGTTTCCTGGATAGAAATAATTTTTTATAGATTGAAAATTATCCAGTTTTTTGAAACGCATTTCTTTGGAGTTCCCTTGGACAGGGAACTTGTGCGTTTTAATAATAATAACGATATTAAAAAAAACAAAAAAACAATTTCTCTGTCAAAAACCTTTATTGTGTCAGAATTTAAATTTTCAATCAATTGAACAAGTTTAAGTTAGTAATTATCAAAATGTGCACAAGACAAGAAATGCATAAAGAAAACATCATTTTTTTAATGCAAAATCAAATGTTGTCAAAGAAAAGATTGTTCAATGGGGAATTCCACTAAGACCTCTTTATCATGGAAGTTATTTAAAAAAAAAGTTTTTGAAAATAAAGGAAGCACTGAAGCAAAATCCAGCTCAAAAATTCAGAAAATTAAACAACAACAAAAATTTCTAGTTCAAAGCTTTTTAAACTGTTGACGAAAAAGAAAAGTATGCATCATAATGGAAAAAAAATTTACTGCGATGGTTTTTTAAAAGCACTACCTGGACATCATTTCTAGTCTGCAATTAATCAAGCCAACATTCTCTCCAAATTGAACACATTGGATCTAGAAAATTTTTTTGGCTGCATTAAAGAAGTTTTTTATTACTACAAGAATCAGATATATGTAAACCAAAAATTTAAATAGAAGCTAAAGAAATTTAAATCTACCACGATGCCTTATTTAAGGTTTTGTATATCAAAAACTCAATAGTACAACTTTATACTGCCAACAGAACAAGCCAATTCTGCAGCCAAGAACATCAATCCACCAAATTAATGCCCTATTGAAAAACTTTAGGCAAATGATAAAGAGATAAAACAAAAAACAATGCAGGAAGCCAAAAGAATTAATTATTTAAAAATAAAAATAAAGATACTTGTCAGCAATAAAATTATGTAAGCGTTGTTGGCAAAGGTCATTACTGATCTATTCACACAAATATAGAGTCAAGAGAAGTGTATATTCACTAACATACTGATAAAGATGTGGTAAAATCATACTGATAAAGATGTGGTAAAAAAAAATGAAAAAGATATGTTACAACATAAAAAGATTTTTTTAAATTATTTTTTTTCTGTTTCTAAAATGCAAGGGATTTTAGAAATTTGTAAGTAAAAACTCATATCTCATGCACTAAACACTAATACAAATTGCAAACAACATTTTTAAAAATGGTCAAAACATATTTATAAATAACTAGACTAACAAAAACAAAAACAAATATAATTATAAACCATAAAAATTTAAATTACAATATAAGATCTATAGGAAGCAATATTAAAAGTTTTTAGTATGTAGTTTGTTAAAAATCTGAAAAGTTATCAGTATTGATTTGTTACACAATGATATTGAATCTGACGTTTTTTTGTTGAGATGAAATATTTTGTTAATTGTGTAAAAAAAAATGTCTATAACAAAATTCCTAACAGTAAAAAAAAATTCATTTTAACACTTCTAAAAGCTAATTTACTTTTATAAATATAATAAGTGTTAGCTGCCTAATTTGGTATTACAAAACAATGATGCAAATTACTAACATTGAAAATAAATAAATTTACCTGATATACAAAAAGCTCAGCCAACATTGGGTTAATACTTTTTAGTTTATGAATAGACTGTACTAACTCATGACTAAAATAAAAGTTGATAACTAAATATTTCTAAAAATATTAAACTTTAGCTTAATTGTTCAATATTTAGTACATCTTTATTCTATTTTTTATTAGACAAATCCCTAATGTTATTAAAAAAAGTCAACCTGGTATTTAAATAAAGCGATTATATGTTTGTATCTTTATAAAAATTATAAAAATATTATTTTTAGAATTTTTATAAAATTTTGCTTCATTTTAGTATCAGATTTAATCTAAACTAAAAGACCTATTTTCATAGAATTCACCTGACCTATTTTCAAAGAATTTTTTTTTCAAAAGTTTCTTTTAATATCAGTAAGATAACAAATTTTTCAAACATTTTTACTTCTTTAAAAATAATACAAACTTTTATTTGTAACTTGAATGTTGAATTTCTATTAGTTTTAAAATTACTGACTACCAACTGAAAGTACCAATTGATTTTTAAAGAAATGTATGTAATAAATGTACCTAAATCAATTGAGGCTTTTAGTTAAGGCAGGCAGTCTTTTTAATTAAAAATATTAAAAACATGAGTAAAGTCTGTTCACATTATTATATACAAAATATTTTTTTTACTAAAATCAGTGCTTGAAGTAAAGCAAGATGAGGCCACCCTTTTACATATTAAAATTAACATAACAACAATTAGACAATTGTATTAATTTTTAATCAATGGATCCATTCGGAACTTCGCCTCGTCGGATTTTTCTCGGTTTTTCGGAGTTTTGGAGTTCGAGAGAAATCAAGAAACATCAACGAAGTTTTTAGAAAATTATTAATTTTTTACTCGTATTCTTATTTTATTTCTACGTGGTTTTTACAATTGTTAATTGTAATTTTAAAAATTGTTTCAAATGTAATTAGTGTTTCCTTTGTTTAATAACAACACTAATATACATCGCAAAGCAATTGGCAATGCACAGTGGGCCAGGTGATGATGGTGGAAAAAACCTCAAAAAATGTTTATTCTATTCAAAACCATATTCATACTTTTGCATTGTACTATTTCAAAAACTCTTTTGTGTATAATAGTAACTTTTTAGTATTAGTATTTTTTAAAATCCACAAAAATCAATTGTGGTATAATAAAATGTAATGCATAATAAACACGTTAAAAGTTGCGAGAAAATAGATTTGAAACCATTTAGTTCCAGACCAGTTTTGACTAAGATGTCGTTAAACTATCGTCTTGCCAAGTTGACAGCTCTTGATGGATATTCGACTAGGCCCATAACTCAATTTAAAACACTAAGAATGCTTTTTGAAAATTATGGGCATAGTTTGCCCAAATCAGCATCCGAAATTTCAGAAAAAATTAAGATGTTTCATGTTGAAGCCAAATATTTAATGATCGCTGAATTGGCTGCATTGAAAGCAAAAAGGGAAAAAATTTGGACTAACAGGTGACGAATGGTGTAGCAAAAGAGGTAGAAGATACTACAATTTAAATGTTCATCACGACAGAACGTATTGTTTAGGAATGATGAGATTGCCATCTCCTAGTTCTGCTGAAACATTAAAAGAATTTGGTATAGATAGTGAATATATTTCAGGTACAATTACAGATGGCTGTAGTTGGATGGTGAAATTGGGTACCATATTTAAGTTTCCACATCAGATCTGCCAGAATCATTCAATTCATTTGAGTGTTTGTGATTTGTGATATGCTAAAAAAGATTGTCGCGATATTGTGAACAAAGAAACTGAATCGGATATTGAAACAGAAACTGATGGAGAGACTGAAGGAGAGTTTCTTATTGAATATTCGGAGAATAAGATTGAGTATGAAGAAAATATTGAAAAAAGTCTACAGAAACTTCAAACACTAATTAAGTTTTTAAAATATTCATCGTTTTGATATGAAGTTCTTAAAAGAAAAATACACGAAATATACAGATTTTTGCATGACAAAGGACTGTTGCTCGACAACCGAACTAGATGGAACAGTGTTTTTCAGATGATTAAATGATTTTTGGATTGCTTAGAAGCTGTAAAAAAATACACTAAAGAGCTAAACTGCTTAAACATGTTAGTTGACTTGGATTTCTTTAAATTGCTGTCTGATTTATTGGAAGTCATTGCTGACACTGCAGTTCGCTTGGAAAAACCAAGTACAACAATTTTGGAGTGTGACATTATTATGGAAACATTAGTAAGAAAATTGAAGGTTGTAGAAACTGACATCAGTTTTAATTTTGCATAGGCGTTAATCTCCTAATATGAAGATCGTAAAAACGCTATGTTTCAAAAAAGATATTCAAGTTTTTTTTATTCAAGGTTCCAAAAAAGATATTCAAGTTTGCTGCTGCAAAATTATTTGATCAACTATTTGCAACAAAAGAAATTAGTCTTCAATCAAAATCAGATGATCACGCTAAAAGCAAACAAGAAGAACCATTACCATCAACATCTTTTTTTGCGGAAATTCAAGAAGTTCTAAATCAAAATTAATCAGCAGCTAAAAAGCCAAAAAAAGTTAAGACCTTCACTGATCAGTTGAAAGAATATGAAGTAACTGGTGTGAAATCAGAAGCAGTTTTGAAATTTGAACTAGCCATCCACAGAATTCAAGTAACTTCCTCGGAAGCAGAATAAATTTTCTGCATGTCTTCCAGATTTGTCACAAAATTTCGTAGTTCGCTTTCTGATGAAATGATAGATGTTTTAATCTTTTTAAAACTTTATTTAAAAAGATCTTCAGAATAAATACTTTTTTTTTTTAATTTCTTTTTTAATTTTTTATTTTAGGTGCTGCAAGAGTTCTTTTTCTCATCTTTATGTTTAATGTTTAAATCCTAATTAATTTACAATTTTTCATCTGTCAGCAGCTTTTTTGGTTTTCAACTCTTTTCTTTTTTTTCTGTTAACTCTTAATAGTGATTGCTTGAAGACTTGTTGGAAGTGAATTTGTTTAAAAAAAAAATTATTTACATTACAATCGCAAAATAAGAAACCAAAAATGCATACATCTCAAGAAAAACAAAACATAATCCTGCTAGTTATCCTGCTAGAACAAAAGCTTACTAATCTAAGTTTTTATCTATAAAAATAAATTTAAAAATGTTTGACAGCATGTTCATTCTTCATATACTCTTTCTGTAAGTGTTGTTTTTTTGGAATATTAAAAGGTAAAAGATCTACTTTATAAGCCAATGATAACCAATCTAAGATTTACTTAAATAATTAAATAAATAAAATATTATATTTTCATTATATCATTATCATTTATCACAGTATCATTTCATTATACCATTATATTTTTCTGAAAATGGGTATATAAACATTAGATAAAATTTTTCACATACCTAGTATTTATCTCAAAAGTAGGCTGTAAAATATCATATTTCATATTTAGAAGCTCTGCGTTTGGACCTGACTTCACAAATTTAAGCCATCTTCGAGCTGAACCCATATCTGGAACAGTAATCATTGCAGGATGTGTTATAAGTCTCTTAGATACCCTAATATTAGGAACTTTAGATTTTCCAAGTACTTTTTGAATCCAATCCAAAAGTTCTGATGCTTCTGTTTGTGATAAACTATTTTTATCTAAAGATCAATATAAATTTTTAATCAGTCAAGTAAATAATGGATACTTAGCTGTGCATGTGAAATTGTCATACTGAATAGCAATAAGCAGGGCTTCAGTAGATAAATCAAAGAACTTTAAGTTTAATCAGACAGTATCTACATTGGAAAAACTACTTAAAACTATTTCAAGAAAATCTTTTCAAGAATCAAGCAGCGGCTCAAATTTACCACTAGAAAAAAATAAAATAAAACCATGGACAGTTATTTACAAAAAACGAACCTCAAAGAAATTGTAGCTGATTTACGGTGTTTCGATTAATACGATAAGACGGTGTGTCAATTAATACAATAAGAAACAACAAATTTATTCGCTCATCGATTCAACAAAGAGGAAATCATCTTCCTAAAAGTCCTACAACTGTGATGAATTTAATCCATCAATATTTAGTATTAGGTTCTACTCAAGATGGTGCAGCAATCAACAAGAAGCTCATGCAGTTAACAGACATTGTTGATCAGTTTTGCTTTAATTACGGAATTCATCTTGACCTATGCAACACGTTACACAAGAAAAATAAAGACTGACATTGATTCAGTACAGGATGAACATTGAATTTACTATGATAATTTTAGTTTTGAATCAGTAAACCATGAGATTAATGCTGACTACCCTGAAACTTTGATGAATGCATAAAAAGTAGTAAAACTCATAAAAATGTCATCAGTTCGTAATTAAATTTTTCAGAAGAAAGTTACTGAGGAATTTGGTAAAGAAATTGAACTGCATTTTAATGTTCGTCATCATTGGAATTCACTTTTTTCAATGACAGCATCTTTGTTAAAAACTAAGAAATGCTTATTCCAGACATTTACTGAATTAAATGCCCTTGATGTAATCAATAACCTAGATTTTGAGTCATAAGCTTCATTACATGCCCTTTTAGAGCCAGCAAAACTAGCATTGGAATTCCTTAGCAGAGAAGATGCAACGTTATCGACAGCAGATACTGTTCTTGAATTCATGCTTGCAAAACTATTTCCTAAGATCCTTCAGTTGTTCCATTAAAAATACTTTAAATTTTGCTGGAAAACATGAATTTAGGCTTTTTTTACTTCTAATGATGAGGAACCACTACTAGCTGAAGCACCATGTACAACATCAGAAAGTTCACCTGTTTCTCTTAAGGATTAATTAAATGCACTTCTCAATAAAGATTCACACACTTGCCTAAATCTACTAATTAATTCAAATGGCTAAAGCAAGAGTTTTTATTGTACCAAAATACGGGAAAATAAACAGAAAATTTTGAAAAAATTTACAATGCGATACTCTCTATAAAGCCCACCTCAACAGATGTTGAATGCGTTTTTTCGAGCTGCACTAGTTTCTGCATAAATTCAGATCACGATTATCTAATGAATTGTTGAAATCTTTAGTTTTCTTAAAATCTTCTTACATTAAAAATAAGTCATTGTAAGTTTTATTTGGAAATATAAACATAATGTTAGAACATTTTGTTCAAATAACTTTTTAAATAAATAATGCAAGATAAACTTACTTAAGTTTTATTATTTAACAAGAAAAACCAAAAACCGCAGTTAATATCTCTACACAAATATGCAGGCATATGAAAATATGGAACAAAAAAAGTCTGATTGCAAATAAAATTAGTTTTTACATGAAACTGTTTGCTTAAATTGGACAACAAACTCTTAAAAGTTGTGGTCAACAAGTGCTAAAGATTATCCTAACAGAACTTGTTAAAATTTTCTCATTATTTGCCAGTGGCAGCGAACATAGTGAGTATAATTTATTAAGAATTTGCATCATTTGCTATTATCAAACAATGAAAATATTTTCATCATAACCTATCAACATAAATTTTAAGTATCAAATTATTTATTAAAACAGAAAACTCAAAAAAATGTAATCCATTTTTGTGCATTTTTTTTTTTTTGTTACAATCTGGTATTCGGTATTCATTCGAGTAGTTTGCAATATTTGGCCGAATACCAAATAGCAAAAAAAGTAGCCAAATAGGCAGAATACCAAATAGTCACTGAATAATCTGACATCTTTAAAATTATACTAAAAAAAACTAAAAAGTTAGTTTTGTTGGTATACATTTATTATTTTGTTTTAGTCAAAAAAAATTCAGCCTAAACATTTTTTCAAACATTCTCTTTAATATGAACACAACTTGTTTTGACACTCAAAGGATCACTCGAAGAATAATATCATAGTAATAATATTATTAACAACAGTATTAAAAACAAAATTACCATTTTTCAAACTAAATATTGTGCAACAACTTTTTTTTGTACAAAACAATATTAAAAACAAATAAGTCAAAAGAATAAAGCTCACCTTCTACTTGTTCATTGACTTCAGTAGCGGATTCATTTTTCATTAAAAAGTTTTCAGCAGATATTATATTTTTGTTTTGAAACTCTTTAAGAGATGCAAGGACAACTTCATCATTTTCATCGTAAGTAAATAAAACCTCTACATTTTGAGCTTTTAATGCCTCAAAATAAGGTGATGATTCAGCTAACTCACGACTAAAAGTGTGATATTAGAATTAGGTTAAATGAATTAAACTACATTAAACTACATTAAAATAATACATTACTTATTTAATCTTGTATTGAAATTGTAAAAATACCTTGGAGTACAAAGAAAAAATATTTCCTTTTGATTTTCTTTCATATCTGCTAAATAATCAGTTAAAGACTTAAATTCTCCGGGACGTCCTTTTGATGATTCAAAGCGCAGCAATTTTGAAATTTCTTCTTTTTGACTTGATGATTGAGTTGTTACAACTCCTTCCCTGAAAAAATTACCACACTCCTTATAAAACTTGTTAAATTTTTCTGAATCTTTTTTTGACTGCTCAATAAAAAAGCGCAGTAATTTTGCAACTAAAACTTCACTCAGTTTATGCAATAAAGCACTGTCTTGAAGTAGCTCACGGCTCAAATTTAATGGAATATCCTCACTGTCAACAACTCCACGCATAAAACGAAGCCAATCTGGTAACAACTTTGGAGATTTGGATTGGATAAGAATTTTTCTACTATAAAGGCTAACTCCAGATTCCATACGACCAAAACCAAACATTTCAGGTATGTTTGAAGGTACATAAAAAACACTACGAATGTTTAATGGAGCATCTGCTTTGTACATCAGTGAGTATCTGGGTGTATCTGAAGTGTTAGAAATAAATTGGTAAAATTCTTTATGCTCATCATCTGTGACATCACGCTCAGGTTTTGTCCATAGCGCCTAAAATAAATTTAGTATGATCAATAGTAAAAACATAGCCAAAAAAATTCCATTTATACTGTAATATTTGATTTTTATTGTGATATTTACAACTTTTACTGTAATATTTACAATTTGTACTTTATGTTTTTTGGAATACAATTAATTCAAGTGTAATTGAAGTTAGATTTTTTATAACTCTATGAACAAATTTTAAGTTTCAGACTACTTGAATAAATTATAAATTGTTTGATGCAGTAGTGGCGTAGTTGTAGAGCACTCTCTTCATAAGGAAGAAGTTCTGAGTCCGATCTCCACCATAGTGTTAATTAAACTCTACCATAGCCTTTTACATAAAATTATTTCTATGTGATGCTCTGGGTTTTTTTTATAATCCCAAACCATCTTTGTAAGGTCTGTTGGGAAATTAATAAAATGAGTTTTATGTTTTTCTAAGTTGCTAAAGCATAAACACAACATTTAAAAGATGTGAAATAAAATACACTTAAATCTACAGAGAAAATCTCAGTTTCTACAATATTTGACATTTTACTTTTGATGATTGCATCCGAGTACCTGCAAATACCATAATGCATTACATTTAAGGGGAAAGGCATATTCATATTAAAATTTGTGAATGCTTGACAAAAAATAAATGTATATTTTATTAAATTGAAAGATTTATTTACGCTATATATAAATTAAAAAAAAAAAAAAAGTGAGTCTAAAATAAGATAGAAACACAAACCATCATGTTGAAAGTTCACACTATAAAATTTTAAAAAATTAAACTTTTTTTTTGAACAAATTTACTCCTAACAATGCTGCAACCACTGATTAAGTTTAGAAAACAAAGAAGAGGGTTTAAGAGCAAAAAAGCAGCTGGTAGAAGACTTTGGAAATTATGAAGAAGGGAAAAAATTATCAATGTTTAAAGAAAAAATCCAAACTTGCTGTTGTTAAACACTGTTGTTAATCACAGTGTTAATCACTCAAGGATAATTTTTGGTTGTAAACAAGTAATGATAACTAATTGGACCAGCGACCATTGTAGCATTTGTAATAAAAAAATATATAACCTTTCAATGATAAGAGTTTTTGGACTTTATCAAAAAGATAAAAAAAAACTGGAATATATAGCTGTGTCGCCAGTAAATAAATTTTAGAGGTTAGATTATCAGCAAGATCAATTTAGATGAAACAGCATTAAGGATATTACATGTATAATATACAACGTACCACTCCATTTTTTCTAAAGAACACTTTTATGCTATAAAAATAAACAAACAAACAAACAAAAAACTTTACCCTGAAAGGTGCAATTGACAAAAAGTTAAAATTAAAAGTGTTACCTGAACATTGTTCAACAAAGTACCATTCAAATATATGGGAAATCCAACAAAGTTACTGTAACGCCTAATTATATCTAAACAGAAATTTTACAAAATTTTTATAGTTGTTAATAAAAAAAATTCCTTATAAAAAAAAATCTAAATACTGCAAACCTTCAACAGTGGATTTCAATGAAAACCGTTTTTCAGTCTCTTTTAAGTGAATAATAACTTTTGTACCACGTGATACTCCATCAGCTTCTGCAATTTCATATGTACCTGAGCTAATTTGTAATTATTAGGTTTGAAAAAAAATTTTAGCAGATGAAAAAAGATGAACAAAATTTTAAACTCAACTTAAACAACAAAAAATAAAAATAAAATAAAAACCCGTCTGACGTCCACAGATAGCCAGGACTGTTTAGCTCATATGATTTTGTGTAAACATCGATCTTAGAACCAACCATAAAAGTTGAATAAAAACCGACTCCAAACTGACCAATTATATTTTGAGTCGAAACATTAGATGAAGCTGATTGAACAAACGATTTTGAACCTGATCTTGCAATAGTTCCTAAGTTTTCAATAAGTTCATTTTTTTTCATTCCAACACCAAAGTCTTGAATAATAAACAATCCCTTGTCTTCATCTGTTGTTAAATGAATTTCTTGTGGCAAATCAGCATCAGATACCGTAGCACCTGTAAGAAGTAAATGGCGTAGTTTTTCTAATGCATCAGAAGCATTAGAAACAATTTCACGTATAAATACCTAAAAAATAATTTTCTAATTCTTTCATTTTTTATAACTTTTATAACTTATACAAAACTACACTTTAAAGATAATATAACATAGTTTAATAATAGGTTTATTTAAAAAAACTTTTTCTCTTTTATTCTTTTACTAAATATAAGAATTTAAAAAGTTTTTAAAATATGTAAACATTTACAAGATTAAAGCTATAATAATTAACCAGAATACTTAATGCTTTGCTATTCAACATTTTGGTTAATACATTCACAAAAATTGATTTCTATAGTTTCTTTGAAATGAAGATTTTAAGAATACCAGTAAAAAAATAGATAACACTTCAGAAAAATAATGAAATAAATTAAACAAGTGCTATAAGCAAAGAACTATCCAGAAATATGAAACATTGATTATGGAATTTGTACTATAAAAATTCTGTTAACTCATAAAAACCTGAAGAAAAAAGTCAAGGGTAGTTTGAAATGTCGAATCGAATTAAATTAAAAAAGTGATTTGGTATTCAATTAGAAAATTTCATAAACTTAAATGAAGCTAATTTCATAAAAGGATTAATTTTATAATATTTTATAAAATAAATAACACACACTACACAATTTAAAAAAAAGTTGAGTATCTTTGACTATAAAGGGGAAAAGGATCAATAAAGATTAAACGCATTGCAATTTCTGCAAAATATCAAACTATTTTGTAATGACAATGAATACTCTACTGGACTATAAACTAATATCTTATAATAAATAGTTATTCTAAATCTCCAAAAAAATATGTTCAGATGTGTGACATTTTCTTTTTGAAATTTTAATTAAGTATTAGAAATAGAGAAACCTTAAAAAAAATTAACTTTTTTAAAGATTTGAGATTCAATTCCTGAATATATAAGTGACTTGATTTGAAAAAACTTACCTCTTTTTCCGAATAGAGAGATTTAGCAACAATATCTAACAGCTGTCTTGTTTCTGCAAGAAACTCGTGTTTAACTTTTGGCCCTGTGGATTAAAAAAATATTTTACAAGTCTGTATTTGGATTAATTTTTTAAATCTATATAAATAATTAAAATATAAAAAATTTATAGAATTCACAAAACTCACAATTTTTTTGAATACTAATACCAAATTATCAGAGGTGGAAAGAGTAAAAAAAAATTTGTACTCAAGCAAAAGTTGTTATATAGTTGTTTTTGATTAAAAGAAACCTTTAAAAATTAAAATGTATTAACAAAAGCAATAAATTAGAATGAAAGATTTTAGTGCAGATCGTTTAATAAAACATTTTACTGCAAACTACAACATTACTACAACCACTAAAAATGTAGAGCATCCTTTTATTAAACAGAAAATTAGACAAACTACAAAATACTAAATCTAAATTGGGTGAGGGATCTTAAAGTATTAAAGACTAAACTGTATCATTTTCAGGAAATGTGGAATATGTCCAAAAATAAAACATTAACAGCATGGTTTATTCTTTTTTAAATATTTTTACACAATTTCTTTTTTGCGCAAGTTTTTTTTGTTAAGTTTGAGAAGCAATAGGTTTTGAATATTTTAACTTTTCTATTACCTAGTTTTATTTAAATAATAATAAAGCATTAATATAATAATAATATCTGAAGAACCTTGTATTGTTTCTGAATCTGTTATAACATGGGTTTCATCTTTAACTTTGTCTTCTTCTTCAACCTGAAAAAAAAAGATACAAGATGATAAATTTGTGAAAATATCAATACATGTTTATTAGGGTGGTTCAAAAAACAACAGTTTTGAAAAAAATCTGACACTTGCACCCTTATGTGTTTTATATGATAAAATAACACTGGATTAATAAAATGCCTTGGTAAAAAGCATAGCTTCATCAGCAGAGTTGCAAAACTCTGGCAAAAGCTATATATGTATATTAGTATGTCCAATTCTAGAATTTTTTATCACATAGCGCCAAGTTTGGTCTCACTTTACAAATAACAAATAAAACATAGGAATCTTATTCAAAAATTCAAAGTAGATCATAAAACCTGTTTAAAAACTAATACATGGAATACCTTGCCAGACAATGTAAATTCCACTTCAGTCAATGATTTGACTGAAGCAGAATTTACACTGTTAAAATTTACAGTTTAATTTTAATAATGTTGTTAAAATTAAATTGTAATTCAAGCTTAACATTTATGTTATTTTATATTTGTGTTTATGTTTGCAACATAAACATTCAATATTCAATAAAGAAATTATGAGTGTAAATATAAACTTTGAAGCCGGTATTAAACAATATAATACAATAACTAAGCATGTTAATAACAAATCTATAACCATTATAAAATGATTAATAATTTTTTTTTTGTTTATTTTTTTGTAATTTTCATTAAGATCTCTAAATCTATCTTTTGGTAATTTTTACCAAGTTTCCTAAATCTATCATTCACTAATATTCATGGTCTTCAAAGTAACTTTTTTTCTGCTGATTCTTATCTCTTGCAGAGTTCACTAAACCTAATTGCTCTTCGTGAGACTATTTTGAGTTCAGCTGTCTCATCTAGTGATCTTAGTGTTAGTGGTTATCTTCCTTTAATTCATAAAGAATAGTTACATGCTTGGCCAGGGCATTTACATTCGTAAAAGTCATCTACTTGTCAGGAAACTAAAAGTCATCTACTTGTCGGGAAACTAGATTTGAATCCACAGATTATTCTTTAATTTGCTTCTGTTTAGCACCACTTCACTCTATCACTTTTGTCTTTGTTCTATATTGCTCTCCTTCGTCTAAAGACTGCACTCTTTTTGATGTTATTTCTGATCAAATTGACCAAGCCCTTTCTCTTCATCCTTCAGCCAATATTGTTGTTGTTGGTGACTTGAATGCTCGTCACACTAAATGTCTTGGTTCTAGTGTCAATGACTCTGCAGGTGTCAAGGGCCACAACTTTTGTCTTTCTTAATCTCTAACACAAATAGTCACCTTTCCAACTCGCTTTCCAGATAATCCAAATCATTTACTTTCTCTACTCGACTATGTCATGTTTCTGATCCTAGTCAATGCTCGGTTTCTCTACATTCACCCTTAGGTGCTTTTGACAATAGTTTGATCTCCTTAAAACTATTATCCGATTCTTCTTCATCATCAGAATGCCCCTATCATCGTACCTCTTACAACTACTTTAAAGTTGACTGGGACTCTTTCCATGATTTTCTTTGTGATGGCTCTTGGGTTGCAAATCTTATCTTTTCCTACTAACAAATTGTGCTTCTTATGCAACTTTTTGGATTCAAGCTGACATGGAGTCTTTTATTTCCTCTCGAAGATTCCAAGTCAAATCTCACTCTTCTCCATAGTTTTCCTCTTATTGTGCTACTGCAATTTCCTATCACAAACATTACTTCCATTTCTATCGCCAAAACAATTCTCCAGAAAACAGACATCTGTTTATAATATAGACAAATCTGTCATTCTTACTCTCTTGCATGATTCAGATATTGTTACCTCACCTAATGACAAAGCTGAATTGTTTGCTAAGAACTTTTCATCAATCTCATCTCTTGATTCCACTAATCACATCCTACCTGATATAGCAGACAAACAGGTTGATCTATTGATTAACATAAGAACCACTCCAGCTTCTGTATCTAAAGTGATTTCCTGCTTAAACTTTTCTACAGCTTGTGGTATGGACAACATAACTGTTATAGTATTGCAGAAGTTCAAGGTTCTATCCTTGGCCCTAAACTTTTTTTAATTTACATTAACTATCTCTCAGAAATTCTCACATCTAAGGTGGCATTGTTTGCTGATGATACTACTATTTATTCTTGTTTTGATAAGAAAACAACACTCTTTAATTGCTTGAAAAGGGCACTGAGTTTGAAAAGAATATCGCATGGCTACAGCATGGGCTCTTAGTGGCTGGTGAACTTTAACTCGGATCTTCCTAAATTTATGAATAGTAATGTACTCCATGAGTCATCTACCCTTCATCTTCAAGGATTAACTCTTATCTAATCTTTCTTGGAAATCATATATTAAATTCATTGCAAAATTAGCATCTGCTATGGGTGCATCTTTTTATCATACTTGCCACTTTTTAACTCAGAATTCTGGATTTTGTTCTTTATTTTTATAAATCTCAACTCTGTCCTTGTATAGAATACTGTTGCCATATCTGGAGCAGATCTTCAGATGAGGCTCTTTCTCTTTTAGACAAGGTGCAAAAACGCAAGGTGCAAACATAGTTAGACTTGTTCTTGCAACCAACTTTCAACCATTGTCACAATATACTATAACAGACGCTGCTCTAAAGAGCTAGCGTCTCTTGTACCATCTATTATTTTGTTCCATCCTTTTGCTGTAACTTTTCCTAAGTGCTCCAAAAACTCTTATTAACTAGTTTTTTTTCCTCAAACTTCAGTTATTTAGAACTCGCTCCCTTTATCTTGTTTTCCTGATTCATATAATTTTCAATCTTTTAAGTCATCTGTTAATTATTATCTTGCTTTATAAACTTCATCTTTTCTGTTCCAGAAACTCCAACTCTAATAGTGGTTACTTGCAGTCTTGTTGGAGATGAAAATGTTTAAAAAAAAGTCTTTAAATAATACTTATTTTAACCTCATAAAGGCAACAATTTCAGAAATCAACCACCAAAATTAAATATATACATTTATTATTATTAAACTTATTAAAAAAATCAAAAACTTACAGATGAAGATGCAGTTGTATATAACTTCTGGTTTACAAAACCTAAATTATAAAACTTTATTATTATTACTATCATTATTTATAAAGAGAAAACCTAAATTATATGCTTATTCATATAGAGAAATTCTAAATTATATGCTTAAAAACTTTAAATTATATGCTTAATTAAGTGCTTGATGAGCAGTCATAAACATTGTATAAAATTTCCTGATGTTGCTAGCACTTAAAACACCAGTTTAAAGACATAAGTTAACTGTTAACTTGTTAACAATGTTAACTATTTTAAATAGTAGCTGGTTAATTAGAAAATAGGTTTTTTTAATTAATAATTTATATCTATAAGTAATTTATAAAAAACAAAAGGTGCTAAAAATCATTTGAAGATCCTGCCAAAATAATTTAATCATTTAATATATACATATATATATATATATATATATATATATATATATATATATATATATATATATATATATATATATATATATATATATATATATATATATATATATAAATATATATATATATATATATATATATATATATATATATATATATATATATATAAATATAAATATATATATATATATATGATTTGTACTATATATGATTTGTACTTTAATGATAATGAATACAAAAACTAATAAACATTAAACATTTTTTTATTATAAATTCTTAATTATAATTGTTATTTTAATTAAATTTTTGATTCGTCAAAATATCCTCCTTTATTCTTTATTACAGCGGCACAAATCTTTATCAGCTATCCCTTGTTGATTAAAATATTATAAACAGTTCTAATCTACTAGTGATATATTAGAATCATAAATTAAAACATAAATACACTCATTGAAGTCGAAAAAATAAACAATTTAAGGGTATTTACATCTCGAAATCATAAATTTTTACCCTGCCTCAAACTTTTTGTCGGTAGTGTATATATATTATTTAGAGTCACAAATAAAAATTTTAAGAAACATGCAAGAACCAAATTAGAAGAACCAAATATGACCAAATAGCCTTAGCAGATGCTAACTTTACAATCAATTGTATGGTTTTAATGAGGTCAGTAGAGAACAATAATTCAAGAAGACGTTGAGGGTTGCCATTTATTAATATAGGAATCTCAATAGCATTGTGAGTTGTTTACACTAAATAACTGAGTTTTGTTGGAGTTAAAACTTACAAGCCACTGCAAGCCCAAATCTGAGATCAGATTCAATATCGGCTGCTTGTTCTAAGTAATTGGAAAGAGAAGACTTTTTGTCAAGACTTACATATAAAGTTGAATTGGCAGCAAATAGAACCACTTTAGATATAAGTTTGTCAGGAAGATCATTATCATTTTCTAAATGCTTTATTAAATTCATTCTAGAATTTAATAAAGCAGTTAGAAAGAAATGATTTGATGATCTCAAAAACTTTCCCAAATGAAGGAGAAAACAAGGAGTAAAAGAATTTTGAACATAATAAAGGGCAACTTTAGTAGATCCCATTTTGTTTTCAGCACATAAGGTTGGAGATTTAGCCAGTACATTATCATTTATTTAAACGTCAACATTATTGCAAATAATTAGCTGAAAATAGCATGTTTTGAGTTAAAATCAATATCTATTATAAGCTACAGGTAACAAAGTAAAGATTATATTCTATGCAGAGGTGGAAAAAGTAACAAAATTTTCTACTCAACTAAAAGTATGTTACTTGAGTGAAATTTTACTCAAGTACAAGTAAATGTGACCAGAAAAGTTTACTAAAACTAAAGTTAAAAGTAGCTCATTAAAAATGTACTCTGAGTAAACGTTACTGCATTACTTTTCTAACAGCCATTCTCAGGTAACAGACCAGTCCAATAAAAAACATAATTGTGTTATCTATCAATTATAACTTTACTTCTGCAACAGTTGTTAACAAATAACCACCAGAACAAAATGATAAGAAATCATTGTCAGAAACTAGCTTATTGGATTTAATTTAAAATATCCATAACTAATAATAAAACAATTAATTTGACAATATAAGCAATGGCCATTATAAAAGAATGTACAGAAGACTGCACAAAAGTAAAGAGGAGAGTTCAAGAAAGGACTCTTGCAAAACTGTGACACAAACAGTCAGTGAGAGACGTAATAAAAGTCTAAGTGAGGGACTAGACTTTTTAGTTATAGAAGCAGAACTTATACTTTAGTTATAGAAGCAGAAGTAACTAAAATGTTTGACAAAGACACAGGACTTGTTTGTCTTCCTTTTAGTTTCATTTTTTCATTAGAATCAAAAGATAAATATGAAAATTATTCAGTCTGATCTTTAGAGAAGTTAAGAAAAACAGAATCATGCAAAGCAGATAGAGTTTTAAATTTGAATTTGTTAATGATACTATTATATATTTACTAGAAGCTCACTCTAGAGAGAGGCTTTTGATATGAAATTTAGTAATCTGAGAATTCAATAAACCACTGTCAGCCAACAAGTTTATATGTGAATATAAAATAACAACTTAAAATGAAAAATTTTCCAAGCTCTAATATGTATAAAATAATAATGACATAATATATTTGTATAATGTATTTTTTTTTTTTTTTTTTTTTGGAAATTTTTTATATTAAGCTGTTATTTTATATTCACATATAAACTTACTTTATTCATATTTAATATAATATCATACTTAAACATACTTAATTCACATATAAAATTTGAAAATATTTAAATATTTACTAAATATTATTTCATGATTAAAGTAATATCTAAATATTTAAATATTTTCAAATTTTTGAGTTTTCCAAAACTTTTATTCAAAGTTGTTAAAACCTTTTTTCCGAATTACACATTGTATGAAGATGGCTGAATTACATGATGATGAATTAGATGATGAATTACACATTGTATGATTCATATATTTGAATTAAACTATGATATTACATTTTGTTTTTTGAACTAATATATAGCCTAGTAATTAATAAGGTGCTTAAGATTATTGGGAACTATTTAGATAGATGCAAATTTTAATTACCATTTGACTTTTTAATACATCTTGTTAAATAATCATGTGAATGAGAAAAGTATTTAGAAGGAATCGGTTTCACTGATGTTGGCAAAAATGTGACAATATTTTTATTTTTAAGTGTCTTAATCACGCTTCTAAATGCCATTTTTGATTTTACTGACCAAACGGAACGATTTTTGGTGGCCGATGAGCCGACTTTTCAATTTTAATATAGTATAACTGATTAGAGCGCGACGGTTATTTGATAAACGAGTTTTTTTAAGCTTATTCGTTAAACGGTTACAAATATTCGTTCGTTTTCATTTTATTCGTTAAACAAATACTGAACAAATAATAACTGTTCAAAAATAAATGCTTAACGAATATTCGTTAACAAATATATTCGTTCCCGCTTATTCGTTGTACAAATAAAATAATCGTTCAGCAATTAAGTTGTAACAAATATACTCGTCAAAAAAAAAGAAGTCTTAATTTAACTAGGATATTAGTCACTAGCCTAGATATATCTACAACATTTTTGTGATTTAGTTATACCACATCGCCGAAGTGGGTGTTTAATAATATTTTTAAATTTTTTTTAAATTTTTTTCATTATTCTGTGATCTATAATGTAGATCACAGGATAATAAAAAAATATATAAAAATACCCACAATGTGCAATGTGGCATAGATTATATATACTTGCAAAGACGTCCTTAGGGGTAGGGGCGTAGGGAGTTAGTAACTCCCCGACCTTTTTACCAGTTGACAAAAATGTGCCAAGCCGGCCAACTTAGACCTTCAATCGGCAAATACCAAAAACCGAGGACCTTTTTTTTTATATAGACCTTAACTATTTCAATTTTGTACTTTAGTCGGAAAAAAAACAAACTCCCTCCCCTTTTAAATTCTCTTCGGTACGTCCCTGTATACTTGCCGCAGGCCACCTGATGGTAATATTACCAAATTTTCAGAATATTTGAAAAATTTTAATTAAAAATACCAATGAAAAAAAATAATTCATTATGTATAACAAAGTATATTTTTTGTACATATTTTCTCATTTTTTATTGATATCTTCTTCAAACATCGGCGAGGTAATATTTTCCATCTCCTTCAGGTTTTTTTTCATAAAAATCATTTCAATATTGTCAATGCTAAGGCTATTTCTTCTTTCCGTAAGAACATTTCCAGCAGTTGAAAATACTCGTTCCGAGGTTGCTGATGATGCATAAGATCTTTCATATAATCATTTAATCTTGTACGGTTAGTCTTTCAATATTCAATAATATCTGCGTTGTCGTTGGCAACTCCTTCATCGACATAACGAGCTATCTCGCATTTGTCATAAGTTAACGGACAATTTTTCTCAGTGTTTTTATTTTTATTTTGCCCATACAGCTTCTTTACAGCAGCAGTCGAAGCTTCTTCATCAGACGAATTATCATTTTTGGATGATTGGGTAACGTTTTCAATGCACGTTGGACTTTCGCAAACATCTCTTCGGCGCATATCAGTTATAGCTTAAGTAGCGGTATCCTTGATGTTTTCGTATCTTTGCTCATCAAGTGCAAAAATTGATCCCTTTTGTCTTGGATCAAGAAAATGTGCCTTTGAATACTCAGGTACTTTATAACCACAATCAGGAATACGTTGTTGGAGTTATATTTGTGACACATGTAAAAGAACTTATTTTTTTCAATTTTAGTTAATTTTTTCTTAAGATTATAGATTTTCAATATCACCAAGTTGATTGTTGCGCGAAATTTTATCGATAGGATTAAGACATTCAATAATACCTTTAATAATATTAGCTTCTACAATAGTGGTCAACCAACCTTCAACTTTAGTTGACGTTTCTGCCATAATAGACAAGCACCCTTTTAGGTCCATAATGGATTTTAACTGCCTCAAGTCAGAATTCCAACGAGTTGGTACTTTCTGGATAAGTCTAGTTCGTGGTTGCTTATGCTCAATAGCAATTTCCTTAAAATACTCGTAGCCTTAGAAGAATGACTGAAGTGTTCAACTAATTTATTTAGCTTTAGTGCAATCTCTAATCATTTGGGAACACTAGCTAGAGCTTGTGTGACAATTAAATGATCTGATGATTAGTGCACCAAAGATTGTCGTTGATAACTTTGCTGATGTGCATAGCTTTCATAACATTTGATTCTCCATCAGTCGTCGGCCATGTATTTGTTTTATTCTCCAAACTCAAGCGTTTTATTAAGTAATCTAACTTTTCTACGATATTTTCGGCATTATGTGCATCCGGAAATGAATCAAGTTTAAAAAGAAGTCGTTTAAGCTAAAAAACGTTTTGTAATAAAATGTAGAGTGAGCGATTGGAAAGCAAGGTTATTACAAGAAGTCCAGTAGTAAAGGTACAACTGTCAAGGTCAATCTTCTCACTGTCAATAATTTTGTTTACATGATCACTGATGAATTTATATAGCTTAGGAATTCTGTCCTGAGAAAGTGATTTTAATGAAACAGGGTTATACTTTCCCTTCGTGGACAATCTACTTAGTCAATGATGTAACTATATTTACATTTTCAAAATGGTTTTTGGACCTTGGATTAACTACACGGGAAGTTTTAGAGACTTTAGCATTTTTTGACTTAAAAAATGATTTTAAAAACTGAGAGTATGACTCAGGAGAGACAACAAGACGAGCTCGTTTGGGTGTACTGATCAAATTGGTTTCTGATTAGTCGTCATCATCAATAACGCGAGACTTCTTTCCAATCTGTTGAGCATAATTGAGTTTCTCATATGCCAAAAAAACATGGGAGTGCTCCCCTTTTTGATGATTAATAAGACCTGAAGTAGTACCAGCTTTAGCAGCAAGTTCCTTTTCGCACGCATTACACTTTGCATGATTAGTGTCAGTCATTTCAAAGAAATCCCAAATACAAGACTTTCTGGGCATTTTATGAGGAAAAGCAGCTTGCACCTGAAAAATAATATTCAAATGTTTCATCTAAATTAAATTTCAATTGAAATAAAATTCTTTTCGAATATCATTAGTATAAACAGAAACTAGTTAGGATAGAAATACCTCTGCCGAATATCAGCACGGGTAATAGCTAATATTTAACAAAATTTATTATATTGTTTCATTTCACAATATAATAAAGTTTGTTAAATATTAGCTATTACCCGTGCTGAATTTTGGAACAGATATTTCTATCAAGTATATCTATAAAATTCATATATATAATAAGTAAAGTAATAAATTATATAAATTAGGGTTTCACATTTCCATTAAGTTTTGCATCCCGGGATTCCCCGTGCGAAACTTTGTTATCCCGGGATTTTCCGGAATAAAAATAATATAATAACAAACAAGCGGCTTCTGGGGAAATTTTATATTAGCACACTAATTTTAATTATTTATTGAAATATTACCTACCCGGAAACAAATTTCTCTAATTTTGAAAAAAAATACTTATTAAAAAATGTACACATAAAAATCAGCCTAAAGTACGGTATGGACACATAAAGTTCCGCTAAAAAATATTGGGTATATTACAAAAAAATTACTTAATTAAAAAAATCGTCGTCAATAATTACATTCTTTTTCCGAAAAAGTTTAACCAATTTTAGGCACTTAGGACGCACAGCCGATTTCTGAACCGATGTTCTCTTTGGCGCTTTAGCTTTTTACGATAAGCTCTTTTTTTCGTTGATAATTTTAAATATATACTGCTGGGAAGCATCGAATCTCTCGCCTAAGCTACGCTGTAAAATACCCATCCTTTTTATGGATCAATTTTTCAAGATGTTTTACCTGTTTTTTAGGCATATTTTGCATTTCAACAACTTTCGTGACGCTTTGTTCTTTTTTTAGATGCGTATCTAAAAAAGCGTATTTTGGTTTTTCGCGTATCTTTTAATTATTCGAGATTTTAGAAATGATGAATTAAGTTTTTAAGATAAAAAAAAAACTATGGTATATTGTAGAGGATTAAATTCGCCACATAATAGGTAGGATTAAAAAATTATATAACATTATTAGATAATCATAATAATGCTACAAAGTTTGTCGGGAATTTTAGTTGTCACGTAAATTAAGTTTTATCCATTTCTTGCATATTATATTTGAACATTTTCTTGTTTTTTATTGTATTATATTTTAAAGGGACCGTATTGATAACAGTTGACTGTATTTGAAAATGGAAACCCTGCATGAATTTTAAACAAAGAAATAATCTAAAATTAGAACGCCAAAAAATAAGGCATATTAAAGTCACTCGAAAATTTATTTTTTTAATTAGGTATACATATAAGTCCTCATTTTCACTTTTACATTTAAGTTTGTACATTAACTTTTACATTTAAGCACTTATTTCAAATTCTGCAATACTAACTTTTAATAATAGTATAATGTTAGTAGCTAAATAAGAGGTAAAAAAATTAAAAAACTTGCAAACACAGTACATGATCTATTTTATTGACAAAGAGAAGTAACCTACACTTGAGACATAAAATATATATAAAGACAAAATCACTAAGCACTTCAGCTGTAACAATGAATGGGTGAAGTACAAAATAACATAAACTTGAAAGTACTTTAAATATTAAAAAAAAATTGTATTAAAGTTTTCCGAGACTCCCTGAAAACAGAAACCATTATACTCATAAAAGGTTTAAAAGATAAAGATTTTATGACAAATAACCGATAATGATAATTTTTAGTGTCTCGTAGTATTAAGAACATAATTACAATTGTTTTATCACTTTTTTATAAAAGAAATTATAATGTTATGAAAATACAAGGTTTGTTTTTACTTTAACTAAAATTCTTAGTCTAAAGTAAATGTTTTATTTGGCAATCAGATTTGTTTTGATTATGACTTGTATGCTTTACTCTTGACTGAAGTCTCGATTGAGATAAACAAGTTTAATACAGTTTTAATCTTAGTTTACAAAATTGCTTGAACTAACATTTATTATTTAAGTATTAAGCCACTTATCGAGATTTCCAGACTTATTGACACAGAATGACACTGGATAAAAAGCCATATACAACATGCTTTATCCAAATACTCATTTAAGAGGATTAGCACCCTTACTCTTTTCGAAAAAGTTTTATTTTTTTTCTACTTCTGAATATATTGTGTTTTTTCAACCATCCGGACAATGTTTGCTTGGAATGCCATATTTCTTTGATATAAATGCAAATGATTCCTCTTTTTCGAGTTCATTA